AAAGCCGATATCCAGGGCTATAACCGGGTTGGTGAACCACTGAGAGTTCACCTAGGGGAGTCGGTCAAAAACCCTGATTCCAAACCAACCATGATGAGGCGTACGAACCGAACAAACACACCCTCGCGGTTGTAGCATTGGTCACTGACTCAATTTAGCATCGAGGTGTATTGAGCACCCCGTCCGAAAGGCAAGTGATCGATGAACTGGACACCAGCTACCAATGGACTGCGGTTTTCACACACCGACGCGCTGCCTTGCGGGTCAGACTTTGGCTAGCCGAAGGCTCCGGCCGTGAATTCCTCAAGAAAATTCACCTACCTTGGCCTGGGCAACCTGGCAGTATTCAGCTCACAAGCCAATCATGGAATGTTTTTTTATAAAGATTTGTTTGGCACACCGGGTGGCTTCAGACGTGTGCGAAATGTATATATACATATAGGTGCACGCAACTGTGGGGATTTCTCCGTCTGCTGCTCATTACCCTAAAGTGTATTATAAAAAGGAGGATGTCGCAGCCATCGGCATCACACCAATTGCACAAGTTGAGAGAGAGAGAGAGACTACTCCCTAGACCGAAAAGCACCGTTATTAATAGTAGTTCAACTTTGACTGTTGAGATATGATGCGTGCGTACTCACGTTTAGTTTTGCACAACGATAGCCTGTTCAGAGATGTGTCGGGTTCAAGTGCAGCGGTAAACTAGGGAAAACGGGATTACGAGCACAGGCCCCAGTACCGTTTAGTCAATTTATTTGAGGTTGGACATCTAACCCTCGCATAGCTAAGTGTCATGTTTAGTTGTGGATTCCCCGTTCATGATCTGCAGAAGTGGCGATTTCATGTAACTTACCGACTCTCGAACAACGAATGTAGGCAAGAATCGTTTGAATGGGTTAAATCTGGACCCTTAGTTTTCTAAATGTGAAATCCGGTTGCCGAATTTCAGGTCACTGATCAAAGAATAGCCCAGAAAGAAACGCCGTTAGGCTGACCCCAAAGACGTATTACATCCTGTACACCATCGACAATCGAAAGTTACTTAATCCTGTTCAAAAACCGATCGGCTGTAAACTACAACTATTTGTAAAAACGGAGAGAATGGCAAGTTATTTGAGCTCGGCTTTGGTAACCCCTTGTTTTTTCCGTGAATGTGAACGCGTGAAACTTTTGCTTGGTCCCTTCATTGTTTTTCGGGCCACATAAACAATTACATTAACTGTAGTAGGCTACGAAAAAATACCGGATACATTGTCCAAACGAAACGTCTAGGCTTCCAATTTACTGCTTCCAAGTACACAATAATTTTGAGCCGACAAATATCACATGAAAGGAAAACAATTCAACATGAATGCTCACAGTCTTTGTGCGCTCGAGCATCTTGTAATAATCGGCGCAAGAGAAGCTGACCCTCCGGGCGCTCGACTAACGACATCAATGGAACGTCTGGGTCCATTAGAGCTTCATCCTCGTCATTGTCTGCTTCAAAATTATTCGCATCATCGTCTGATGTCACCATCGGTTCACCGGATTCGAACGGGCCAAACGCCTGCAGGGATAGAAAATCGGGTTGTGAACAGTCAAGACAAACATTACTTTTTCTATCTCTTTGAGACATATCAGACCTAACCGGACAAGCAATACTTTGATGAGGTGCAGCATTTTAGATAGTCGCGGTCGACCAATGGGGCAACTGATCGACCTTTACAGACTGCATTGTTTTGGGCATGTGTTGCGTACGTCATGAAACAGAGCGCCACGACGCGCGACGTCGGGCGAGGCAGGTAGTGGGTGGAAAAAAGTCTAGGGTGGTCAAGCTAAGATCTGGTGTGAGGATATGAAAATCCTGACCAGGACACTTGTTCATATAGTTCGCGTTAGGCTTCCTGGATGGGAACGTCGGGATCATTGTAACATGGTGGTTAGAGACAGAGTGATATGAACGCGTGGCGCAACCTCAACCCATGTGAATTCTCTATTTTCTGTTTGGCTATCGTCGAATCATTCCAGTGTTGCCGTTGCTCTTTCGTTCCAATGGGCAGGCATGAGACAGCAACCAAAACCGGTGCATGAAAGAGCACGGTTATTGGTTGTCAAAACTGAAACTGAACTGCTCAAGTGCCTTAGCTGATAATCGTTTTCAAACCGAACTCACTCCTCAAATACTGTTCTTTCCGAATGTCGTTCTCATACATCCACTGAACTGATCTGCAGATCATGGACCGTTTTTCCTTTTTTCATAAAGATTATTGTACCATGATTTGTTTGGCACACAGTCTGGATTGAGACGTGTGAGATATATATATATATATATATACACTTCCTGGGTACAAGAATATGAATGAACTGGCAAAAGATTACTGGACACGCATGCCTGACGAGCGGCAAGAACCGCGAAACCGGTCGGGTGCTTCCAGAGAAATTTTGTCCAGTTATTCACACACTACTTGTTGTGAAGTATATATATCCATTGAACCAGCCTAACTTCCTGTAAAGCCGAGTACAAAAGCTATTAGTCAATAACGAGCAATAATTCTGCCAAACAGGAGTAAGGGAACCTTTAACGAACGTTGATCCTTAAGACTTAAATTCCGGCATTGAAGTCTTGGTTGGTGGTTATCTCGATATTTGGCTCCCGTTTTCACACCTATGGATGAACGCTCAAAACGGTTATTTCAAAAAAACGCAGCAAATTGTAAAAGAAATAATACCGACACATTCGTTTATGACCGATTTTCAAATTGAAACATTGAGTTTATGACCAATAAAATGGTAATACTGCGCGGTGGATTGAATTGCTGTCTTTTGGTTGTCCAGTTGAACAAACGGGAAAAGAGACGTTAAAATGTAAAATACAGGCAGACTGAGGTTGCAAGGAACGGTGCACGAGTGTCCTTGTTGATGACAACCAGACATATCTCGCAGCGTCTGTACGACAACACTAATTCAGATGCACGGATTCAAGAAGCTTAACGAGACCTATATAACCGAGTCTCCTAGTTAAGGCTTTTGTACCCCTATGACTTTTTTCACTCACTGCTTGCTTTGGCAAACATTGCATGTAGAGGAAGCCAATTCGGCGATATTTGTAACACATATCTCATTCATAGGTCGGTTTCATATCACTGCTGGATAAACCAATCGTCTCTGCCGCAAACGTCGAACAAATTCACTTATACAAGGGTCGATGGAGGAGCGATCCCAAGTTGAGCGGTGGTTGGTCAAAACGTCAACCATGTGGTAGGCAGCTTTGTTATCGTCCAGTTCAATACCACGCGTCACTTAGCGGGGCCCTATGTGGTTCGTCCCCGAGCTTAGGTTACCGGTTATCATCACCGAATAGCAGGTTTTCGTGAATATGAGGTCCGCCCCGTCTGCTGTTCATCACGCACTGGTGCCATAAAAAAGGCGACGTGAATCACACACTCCGGGACTGTGTTGATCACGTGTTGTGCCAGGGTGATGGAAGTCCATGAATCACGGGAATGCGGTTGGGGGGAATTCCGTTAGGTATCCTGTACTTAACATGTACATCTACTACTATATAAAGCCTCATGAGTGTGGTGGTGAAACGCGATTGCTTATGAAAGTGAAATCACCTCGTCAAACGCGTATTGATGATTATTTGACAACAATCAGCGGTACACCCACTTCCAATCTGAAGAACTGCTTTGACCTCTGCTGCCCCATGATCCCTATGTACATCAACCCGCCAGATTGTCTTCCCCCACTTTGAAGATCCTCAGAAAAAATCAAAGAACGAGCATATAAAAATCGTGACAGAGCTTTAGTTAAACAAACGTCAGTGCTGATGAAGACTGAGATCCAAAATCTTCACAAACTTTACACTGAAACCCTACTTGGTGATCGGAATTGCAAGCAAATATGTAGTACTATGAAAAAAACTCTGTGGAACAAAAGTCAGACTACACGGGCCTCAACCTACAGCAGATGAATTCAACTGCATGTTTTCAAGGTCAACTCAAACTGAAGTATCGAATTCATACTTCCAATCAGCTGACCATTGTTAAGTTTCGCGTGTCTATCCTAATCACGTGGGGGCACAGCTGATGTGCCTAAAAATACCAAAACCTTCCGGTCCTGACGGACTATGTTTAGTCGTTCTCAAGGAATGTGCCTATTATCTGGCGGAGCCACTTAACGGTATTTCCAACTGTTGCTTAGGGGAACAAAAAAATGTCGACTTTTGGAGACCTGTGCTCATTACTTCAGTCCCAAAAAGGAAGCTGGAAATGAAAGGTACAGTACTTCGTGTGCTTTTCCTCGACTACGATAATGCTTTTATTGTGTCGACACGGGCCAGTTTTTGTCTCTACTCCAAGATTATTTTACCCGTTGAACACACTTCATGAAATTTCTTGGAAAAACTTCTGACTCGCTTCAGGAGTGCTCCAGGAAGAAATACTGTCCCCTTTTCTTTTCTCTTTCTGTATTCAAGACCTACCTACTGACCCAGGTGATCTTCTTAGCACGTTTGTTGATGATGTCACCATGGGTTCTAAATTCCCAGGTGATTCCTGTTTCTCACAGGTTCAAATCAGTTTATCAGCCTTAAGCTGATGTTCTTCATATTATAAATTATCTATCAATGCCTCTAAATATGGCGGTCACCTTTTCACTAGCTAAAGAACGGATACATTCTTTTGAAAGGAATCGCTCCGTACTCTATGTTGACAACCAGTCTGTTCCCCCATTACGTTCTCCGCAATACCTCACGTTACAAGATCTCACCTGGATGTCACATTTAAACTCTACTTCTGAAAGGATTCGACGACAATGTTTCTATATTTCCCGCTTGCGATCTTTGAAAGTGCCACTGCATTTAATCACCTGATTTCTATATTCTGGTGTTGTTACTAATTTTTACTGTTCCTCAGTTTTATTTGCCGGTCTTAGAGTTAGAGAATACACAATTCTACGCCAGTCTATTAAAATTAATTTGCGCACAAGCGGTATTCCCTATTCACACTTGGAGAACTGTAACACATCTTGAGGATCATATAGCCCTCCAACAAACGATCGACGCAGCCCATCGATGGTCAATCGCCAACGACATCGAGTTCAACATTTCAAAATGCAGAGTTATTTCCATGCGGCATAAGACTCGTTTCTCCTACGTTCTGGGGAACCAAATACTACCGCATGCCACTGATGAAAGGGATTTGGGAGTTATGGTACAGGAGGGCGTAGGATATTCCACGCACTGAGTCAGAGCATCATATATGGCTCTAAAGCAAGTCGGACTACTCAGACGTGTTTTCGGGCAGTTCGAAAGAGCACTGTTCCCACGCTGGCTATCAGCGTTCGTTCGGCCACACACGGAGTACGCCGTTCAAGTATGGAATCCATGGTTAAACTGCGACAGGAAGGCTCTGGAACGTCCGTAAAGGCTGGCAACGAAATTGGTGAAACGTCTTTATAACAGTCCATACTCCGAACGACTGCCAATATTAGGACTCCACTCATACCAATAACGCCGACTTCGAGGAGACCTAATATTGGCATATCAAATAATGCATCAAGCCAATCACCCTGGCCGTTATCTGCTGACTTTATCTCATAATGATCACCTCAGGAGACATCCTCTAAAGGTGAAGACCCAGAACAGCCACCTTGATTGCCGGCACCACTCGTTTGCAGTTAGAGTGTGCGGCAGATAGAATTCTCTTCCATCTGTAGTGTTTGCTCCTACAGTTGAACTATTTAAATCGCAACTTGATAAAGCATTGGAACACTTAAAATTTCAACATCCGCGAGTGATCACACACATCATTATCATTGTGAAGTTATTCAAAAGATTCTGTAAAAATCCTATGGGGTATGATAAGCTTTAGCTTTGTTAAATCATCCATAATAAAACTTTGACTCCGACTTTACCTTATCGCCGAATAACATTTTACCTCCTGCGAAAACTTCTGCAATAATATTCTAACAGATATCACTCACCCATTAGACATCGAACAACGCGTATCCGTAACCAGATGTTGTTATAAACCTGTGTATGCTCGTACCACTGCCTACCGTTTGTCCGTTATCCCAAATTTTTCGAAATTTCTGGTACAAAAAAAACATTCATTAGAGAAAACGTTTTGAAATGACATCCGTTTTCAAACTTTCGCCTTAAAATTGCGATGCTGTATTTCGCTTTTTCTCTGTGACAGCATGCGATGATGAATGATCCTGGTGTGCAAGGAGCTGAGAATCTATCCACTAGAGTAAATAAAGCGATTTTTGATTTGACTTGGCTTGGCTTGATTTGTCTCTGCATTGTAATCAGTCGTGCTTACGGACCCGCTGTGCTTTGGCAACGAAACCTACGCCTATTCCACATTAATAAAAAGTAGATATATAGCCTCAGCATTTTAAACGAGTGCTTGAGATGCGGCACATTACGCGGGAGCCCATATCGACGAAGATTTATTCTCCACGAAACCTAACCGGAGTGTGATTCAAAAGTCGCAACAGATCCACAAGGTAATGGGGCACAGATTCCACACGAGGACAATCAAAGTAACCGTGTGGGAGCTTCCATGGACCCGTCACGTGAGAATTTTGCGTTTGTTTTTATTTTGTTTGCTGGTGCATTGGTTGCCGATTGGTCGCCCCGTGCACCTGTTGAAACCGGTGGAATGTGAACGAGATAGTACTGTGGGCTACCCAGCTTAGGTGAGTGCAAAGTGTACAGTGAAGTGCAAAGGGTTCTCCCACCGTAGAGAGGGAGTCTCATGTAAGTCGAAACAGCGTTTTTGGTCGAATGTATATTACTGAGGAGCTGTTCAACTCGTATATATTGGCTAGAGTGCCCTCTCCATGATAGATCGTGCATGATCAAAAGAAGGCCCAGCTGGGTTCGCGTCTAGCCTGTAACCATTAGACTTTCAGTTATGATCGGATTTGTGGCCGTGTAAAGCCTGTACAACCTGCAACATGATGGGGAGTGGGCACGAAGCCATCAGTGTAGTGACGACTGAAACCAAACTGGGATTTATTCAACGTCTTAAAAAAGTCAGTTCAGTTTTCCTTTTCCATAGGAATTATCAATCATTTCGTTAGGTTCAAACGGAGACCGATGGGATGGAATTACGTTGCACCTGAAAAACAAAACCTCCGAGTAAGTTATCACAACACGAGTTAGAACAGTAAGACGGAGGAGTTATTACACCTTCACACCGCGGATCAAATCAACCTTCTTGTGCTTACCGGTTTGTTTTGACTGGCAAGGGACTGTTCCACACGGAGACGTGCTTTCCTGTGACGTTTCATGCGTAACTCATCCCGGCTAAGTTTACCAGAGGATTTCGTTGATGACGAGTTCATTGCACCGCCAATCGGATGGAACGGAGGGGTCAGAAGTTGCTCGACTAGTTGACACAGGGCTGTACGACGTAGAGCATTCATCTGTTTTAATTCCTCTGCAGATAAACTGAGGGAAGAGACGTTGGGCGAGTCCGATGCATCGGTCGCACTTCGTCGATAAGTTTGCACAACGGTATTTGGATCCAGATGATGTGAAGCACTGCGTACATGTGCACAAAAATAAACCAAACGACGAGTGACCGTGGAACGAGTGCATAAAAATCCAATAAAAATAGTTTCGTCATACCCATTGTGCTTCACTAAAACTAATGGAGTTCGGAAAAGGTATAACTGCGGTTCAAAGGGAGTACGCTGTCTCCCAATCTTTGCTACCGGGGCAAAGTACGTGACTGACTGACACTAAAGACTACTCAATAATAGGTGAGTTCGGTCAGTCACGGCTTAAGTTGGCTGACCAAAGCGCATACAGCATGTGAGGAGCTCAGAGATTAAACACAGTGGGTCGATGGATGTGTAATATTGACGAACTCGGACGAGAGCGAAGCTTGCGTTTCGCGTATACGTACTTCAAACAGGCTTGCGAACAACCATGGTTTC